AACTGGCCAACCAGCCATAAAGTGTTACAGCAGCTGCTTCACACCTGGCTCGTTGTTTCGGAACCTGGCGCGTTTCCCCCCTTAGCTCGGTTCGTTTGGGCATTTGTGAACACGGCAATCAAGCTCGGATCCGCGTCAAAACAATAGGTCTGAGATCGCCTGAACGAGGTGGTCTCGGCTCGATTGAAAACGAACTCTGGAGCGGTTCGGTTGTAGTGAGAAAGCAATCCGATCTAACGGACCAACAAACCATATCACAATGTATGGGTCGTGTTTAGTCACTATTTAGTGTGGTATTTTTTGACAATATTCACTCATCATGACAGTAAAATAGGGCATTCTAAGTCAATATACTGCAGTATTTCCTCTCTCAATCAGTAGAAAATATGGTTAACACCCGGTAATGCATGAAAAAAAAAAATACCGTCATGTACCATGAAACCGGTATAATTTTGAAAAATACCATTATATAAATTTTTGGTCATACCGCCCAGCACTACTCTCAAGGCAAGATATTCTTCTTCTCCATCCACACTAAGCAGCATACTGGGCGACGAGAGCTCTCCAGCAAAAACTCATGTCAAGATATAGCTGATGTAAAATTGCAAAACGATCATCTTAAATAGTGTTAACATAAATAGTTACAAAAATCTTGCATACGTGTAAATGGGAGGGTTCTGCAGCGCTCCCTTGAATAGGAATTGCTACATTTCATCACATTTACATACATACATTTTTACTTATAATATTATTTGTTCTTCAGACATTGTTCAGTTACACTTTATTTTGATAGTCCACTTTAGACATTCTACTAACTATAAGTAACTTTGCAACTACATGTCAACTAATTCTCATTAATTTGCTAAAGTTTCTCATAGTCAGTATGTTGTATGTTGTGGACCCATCAAAATAAAGTGTTAGAAGATATTAAGCAGACAGTCTACTAACACTCTAATGACTGATAGTTGACATGTAGTTAAAGTGAAAAGCATTAGCTTTGTCTTTTTGCTAATTCTTCAAAATGAACCTGTGAATGTCTGTGGGTGAGCACGTCTTCTTCGCCATTCAAAATAAAAAAGCGCACTTTTTCATTTTATAATGCCGTCTTATTGCTCTTCCTAGTAGGTGCATTTTAAAAAAATTTTCTCGATGAATCCTGGACTCCTGCTCAAAATGATAAATTAATATAAGAACAGCTACAACAACAAAAAAAAAACAACAATAAGCCCACGAAGCTGTTATCGTCGCATCCTGATGAATGACAGCTAAGTGGAATCCCGGAAAATAAACCGTGGAACTTTGACCAATGAGAAA